AGTAGTTGCAGATAATTCATTAGCTCTTGATTGAATTTCATAGATACTTTCATTGTTAATAGAGTTTTTTGGACTTAAATTATCATTTATTTTATTTGAAGAAAAATTGTCGGTAACATGATGAGTACGTCTTTTGTGTTTCTAAATGATTATAATTTATAAAAAATGTATCTTCAATGGTTTATTTTAATTATAGAATATAATTTCTACTTGATATAACGTCAAGAATAGACATTAATAAGAAACTATTGTGAAACTACGTGATTGACCTTTTCATTATGTTTCTAGATCATTAGAAAAAATATTATTACATCGAACGTGACAAATTCATGACTTATATACTGTATCAGGGGATTATAACAGTATTATCGAAAGTATTTAGTAGTCTGTAAACTCCAGTATGCCTAGAACCTATGAAAGTCACTGACTTAATGTGACTGAATGAAGAAAAAGATATTCTTTATGAGATTCGAATCACACACCTTCTGCTATCCAAGCAGATGTTTTCAGTATCGATCCTTTTTTTCTGATGACGTGACTTTTGAGTACCTCCTAAGAAGATCATATGGAAACGTTTACCAGTAGTTTCTATGTTGTACATTCATGATCTTGTGTCGAGGTGATTTCACATTCTTTTTATGCTGTAAAAGCTATATATAAATGGGATTCTGCTACACAAACTCAAACGTCGCACTATTCAGATAAGAGTTTTTCAATGAAGGTATCTTCATAGTTATGAATTGGCATTGTTTTGTCTTGTCATAAAACATTCATCGCTCTTAGATTGCGAAGTATCGTGATTAAAGAAGGCTATGATGATCACTCCTGAAATAACCTCTTGCTCTCGAAATTAAAAAAAACATTAGAACTTCAGTCATCTATTGGCAATTACACAAGATGTTTGTTTGTTCATGTAAATTACCCTTTTCTTCTATCAGGAAAAAATACCAACATGACATATACGAACCTTAATGTAATCGGCACGAAAAAATTTGTTACATATATCACATTTTATTTTGCTGATTGGTTCAAAATTTAATTTGGATGCTGATCTCGGAGATAACCGACCTTCTCCAATATCTCATTGATTAACTAAAACTTGCATTGGATCTTGTTCCATTCCATTACCTGTGCTGGAACAAATTGCTATATATAAAAGAAAACAACAAGGGAGATTATCATAATTTGAATCATTAATTATTTACTCGATTGATCACTTATTAAAGTATTTGTTTTAATATGAGATTTATTACGTTATATACAGAAAAAACATAAAAGAAGTTTTTAATTTTATTCTTGAATAATTTTTTCTTCAGATGTATGATTATTATTCAATGTACAGTAAAACCTCTTTAATCTGAGCGCCATCGGGACCGGCAAAAAGTGCTCAGTTTAAGGAGGTGCTCATTATTCGGAGATTTGCAGATTCTCTCATAAACAGTCTGAATATTCACTTGAAAATGCTTTTCGAGAGCACAGAATGATATTGTACTTCTTTCCAATAAGTTATTTATACAATAATTTATTTCCTAATATCACAAATTTTTACAACACATAACTAAGTTTTTTTAAAATAACTATCAAGTGTACTTTGCATAGAAGTTTTTGAATCAAGATAAATGTCTGTTAACATTGATTTTGTCGCCAAGTCTCGTTGAGAAAATTGACGATCATAATCTTTTATTAATTCCACTTTTTTAAGTAGAGGTAAATCCACGCGTGGTGCCATTATTTTATATTCATGATTATCGTTACAAAGATGAGAAAATTTCACATCGGACAACATTATTTATACTGAGTGATTATTTTCTTTTAATTACGTCCGATTAGTCTATGTCGGTCAACTTGTGTCTCTTGTTTATTTTTAATAAAAGAGACAAAAAATTCGTTCTTTTCTCATTCTACGTGCCAATTATACAACACATATTGCTCATATTTTAGAGGTTCTTATTGTTCAAGGGACCAATAAAATGTGCTCACTTACAGAATAAGGAGATGATCATAATCGAGAGACTCATTTCCAGCAAAATATGCTCGGGCGGCCCACAGAGTGCTCAGTCTGAGGAGTTGCTCGTTATCGGGAGGTGCTCATATATAGAGGTTTTACTGTATATAATATTCTCCATTAACGTGATCGCTTTCGAAAAATAAATAACTCATAAATCTTTCAATATATCAAATTTTGAAGATGACTGCGTAATAGTGCAGCAACAATCAACACAAGGAAAAAAACTATTTCATGAGTAAATAACATGTTTATTGTACTAATGTAGTAAATCATGATGAAAAAAAACAAAAACAAAAGAAAAATGTATTTACATTATGTACATAAAAAAAACTATGGGAGAGATGCAGGTGGTGACGATGACGTGATTGATGAATCTTGCTGATTGTGACCAATTTCTACCATAAAAATATTTTTTCCTATAAAAAGAATCATATAAATGAAAAGCAAACCAAATTAATTTACCAGCTTTAAGTTCTCTCCGTCGCCGATATTTGGACAAACTTTTCGGGTAGAACCACGAACGCTAAAATGATAGAAATGATACAAAATGTACAATTTTCAAAAGCATATATAAAACGTAACATACTTTACAAATACCACCAGCACGAATAACTTTGACCCCGAACCAGCATCCACCAACAAAGCCCCCTGAGGTGACCAAACTTACAGCAATATGGAAACCACTCGATGACCATTCCGGAAAACCTGCCGAAAAAAAGATGGCTTGCGAGGAGCATCCAATGTTTTCCATATTGGTGTAGTTGTGGTCAATTTATCAGGAGAATTTGAAGGTGATGCTTCTGTAGAAGCGTAGTCTTCGTACCACTTGAAGACAATAGGCTAAAACAAACAAATTCAAAACAAAACTGGGGCGTTCATATCACCACTTACATCAGAACGAGGATATCCAACTGATAAACCAACGCCACCAAACATTGTAACATAAAAAATAATTGAAAATTTCATTTGAGTAACGAGAGATATGTGTACATGATACTAGAAAAAAATTCGCACATATAAATACCCCGCACATACATTATTCGATTGCAATATATCAAAAACACTTCAAAGAAAACAATTCCGACCTTATACAATAATTAAACAAAAAACGACAGCTACAACATCCCGAATATCAATGCAATTCTCATACAAGAAAGAAAAAATTACCCTAGACTATTCATCACTCAATATAATAAAGAAAAGCCGACCATAATAACATCAAACAAAAACAAAACACACAACCACAACGAACACCAACTTTCGTTTGTCCTAATCAACAAAACCAACATAAGCACGGTTCATCAAACAATGCTCGTCTCATAAAAAACTCAAAACCATTCAACCCAATAAACGCCTCCATCGTGTGTGGTTTTTTCTCCAAATTCGACCATACTTAAAAACCGCGTACATCCACATAAGAATGATCATTTTGTAGAGAATTCAATTCTCTATCGATTGGTGTACTCATCTTCTTTTTGCAATCGAAGATGAGTCCACAGCGAGCGATTTTTATATCGCTAATTATCCTTTTCCGGGATATGAAGTTTTTTTTCCGCATTTCAACCCCAGTTTGAAATCGATTCTCTCTATGACGAATATATCATCTTGTAGCGAATTAAATTCTCTATCGAATGGTATATTCATTCTCTTTTTGCAATGGATTTTAGCTCGACTAGATCCCATCTCAATATCGGAAAATATTGCATCAGAGTGGGTGTCGGTTTTTTTGTTTTCCTTTCTAACCCCCAGTTAGAAATCGATTCTCTCTATGACGAATATACCATCTTGTAGCGAATTAAATTCTCTATCGAATGGTATAATCATCCTCTTTTTGCAATGGGTATTAACTCGACTAGAGTCCATCTTAATACCGTAAATCATTGCATGGGAGTGGGGGTCGTGTCTTTTTTTCTGTTCTAACCCCCCGTTTAGGAATGGATTCTCTCTATGATGAATATACAGTCTTGTAGAGAATTCAATTCTCTACAAGACGATATGTAGCATTTGTCCGGGCAATGGCCCGTCTGGTGCACAAATTGATTTTTTTTAAAAATTGTGTGCTTTTTTTTTCGTCGTGCTAGCTTCACACTCATTTCTGTTGCTAAGGCCGCCATGGCCGAATTGTTGGCCTCCACATTGATGTTTTTCGATTTTTGATTTTCTGATTGGTGATTCAAACGAGCAATATACTTTCGTCTCTCGTTGTGGTAATTCGTCGTGTTGTGCTAGCTTCACATTGATGACCGGTTTAACGCGTTTCGCAGCTGCTAAATCGGTTAAAAACGCTGCGAGACGATATACTTTTCGTTTTCATCCGGAAATTGTGGCTCCGAAACGCGTTTTGAGTAAGTGGAGAAATGGGTTGTATACCTTTCTCGCCATTGGAAACGCTGGGAACGCGTTAAATCGGTCAGCATTAACGCGTTTCGCAGTAAATATATCCTAATTTTTTATCCCATGGGTTGCAATTGTAGCATTATTTTATAATAGTGAGCTAAAGAAACATTCAGTAATACACTGTGCATTGATGCCAACCTTTTTGAATCTAATATACTACATATGTCTCTGGCTTAGTGCATATATAGCTGTTGAACGTGTATTAATTCAATTTTTTCATGATAGTCTTTATCGTACACGGAAGTATTCAGTTGCTTTTTTAATTATTCTATTCCTATTCCTCAGTTCAGGACGTGTAATAACAGCTCTTGGACGTACTGTTGGAAAAAGTTCTGTAATTTCAACAATATCTTATGTCTGTTCATTTCATCATTTTTTAAATAAAAATTTAAGAATAGCTTATGAAGTCCTGGATAGCATCTTTTTATATTTTGTCATACCGTTATTATTAAGTTTGTTATCAATAGTCCTCACATTAACACATATTATTCGTCGTAAAATCACTTTAACTGACTTAGAAAGAAACTCATGGCAGTCACTAATAATACAGCAAATTTTGAAGCACAAAGATTTCTTTATACCACCACTAGTTATTATCATTTGTACGATTCCGGAAAAGTTACTATTAAAAATTACCGAAACACATTGTATAGAGAAAAGTAAGCAAACATTTTATCTGCGTTTACATATTGCTCTAGACTTTCTATTATATGTGCCTTTAGTTCTCACATTCTTCATTTATATCTATCCTTCAAGTGTATATATGACTCTATTTTGTGAACTAGAAATAGTTAAATGGATTAAAATAAAACTGTTGAGTCTGTGTTGTCATGCATCTTCAAATATCGTAGAGAGAGTAATTGAAGAGCAAATTATTGAAGATACACGTGTATAAATGAATAGTGTCTTCTGTCTGATAAAGACAAATAGATATCTTCGCTTGAAGTTTTCAATCAAACTCAAATTTAAGCTTTATCTAGAAATACATCTCATTCTTACTCAAGAAAGTGTACTTTTTTTTTAATTTTAGTTTTATTTACTTTAAAGTTCTTCAATTTCACATGAGTGTGTATATTTT